TTAGAAGCAATTTAATGGAAACATTGTTGCATGGGAACAAAAATATTATTCTCACAAAATGTTCCCATTCAGTACATTGCCACATAATTTTGTTCCATATGGTGCTTCATAAAGCAAGAGTGTTTGTAGGCAACTGACACAGAAAAAAGTAGATTTATGTGCTTAAGTGAGCTCTGTAAAGCAGAAAAAGATAATTGATGCTTAATTATTTATTACAAGCATAATGTTAAAAAGCAGCTCAAGCTAACTCCTTTAGAAAGACTGCAGAGAAAGGAAATGAGTAGCTTCACTATTCATTCCTTCATTCACTAATAACATTTTGCTGGGGCTGCAGAGGTAAGTTACAGTGGCTGTGCTACTGAAGAGCTCATGCTCTAGTGGAAAAGGGAGAAAAAGATAGTGAGGAGAGCCTCCATCCAGGGTGCAGGTGGCTCTGCAGCACCCATGGGCTCCAGAACACCTCTTGCGCTTTCTCAGGGCTGCCTGTCTCCTCCGTGGTAGTGGCCAGGAAAGCCTGGTGGTCCACTGGTAAGTAGCCCTGTGCCACATTTCATCAGTGGGGTGACCAATAGCAGGGCTGAAGTGATGGCGCGTCATCCGAGTGTAGGCCATCAGCACACAGTGGCTGACATCTTGATTGCTCTTTTGTTCTCTTGGGTCATTCTTGCAGGGTGGCCAAGTTATGAGCAGGGCTCTGGAGAAGACCACAGGGTGGGGGACCAAGGCCCCCGAGTCAACTTGGAAGCAGACCTCCCTCCTCTGGCATGCCTACAGATGAGACTGCAGTCCTAGATGACAACTTGACTACAGCTTCACAAGGGGCTAAGAGGTACAGCCTCCCGTGGGCTCGGCTCCCAGCATTGTGAGACCACAAATATTCATGGTTTATAGGTGCTAGGCTAAATTTGGAGGTAATCTGTCACACAGCAATAGTGAATGTGCCATTTGGGATAGTATTCTCATTTATTATTATCTCTCCTCAAGTACAAGGTGATTTCCATGACAGAAATTATTTTTCTGGGTTCACTGCTGTCCTGTGAGTGCCTAGAGCCCTACCTGGCTGCTGGTAGGGGCTCGGAAGTTCCCAGGCACTGATTGTAATGGTTTGAATAAGGAGTCCTGATGAGCCACGGTTTGTGGCAATCCCCAGGGCAGAAAGGACGACTCTTCTTATCTAAGTGGTTGGGTGTTTCCTAAGTGGTAAACTCTACAGCAAACACAACAGCTCCATTAGCCTCTGCAGAGGACAGGGAAAAGGACCATAAAGCCTAACCACCTAGTGACAATGTTCTTGTTTTGGTCTCTCCCAATACCAGTATCTGCAGACCACGTTAGAGACTAATCCCAGGAGCTGGCTGACTATAGGGAAATAGGGCCCCTGGAACTATGAGCCCAAACTAACACTATGGAAATCGAAGTCTATTCTTCTCCTCAAATTGCCCAGACTGATGTGGGTCCTGGAGGACTGTTGAGGGAGCGAGTTCCTCCAGGCAAGGGGCTCATGGGCTAAATCTAAAGCAAGGCTGTGAGAAGTTAAGGATCCAAAAGCATACAGAGATACCAGAGCAGGCTGACTATGAGAAGACAGAACTGGCTGGGTTGGAGGCAAAATAAAGGAAAGTGAAACACCTCAGAGTCCTGGACGGTAGCTTTCCATGGTCACTGATCTGAGTTCCTCCTGCCCCACAGAGTCACATGGGGGCGGAGTACTGCTGGCTAACAGTCTTATGTGAGCTTCAAACCTCCTGCTCTTGGTTTGGCTTTTTTATTTTTTTTTAAATTTTAGAATGCATTTATTATTAGAAGAAGAAAATAAAAATCCTGTCGCTATCACCCTGCAGCTCCCTTCCTCTTCCTCCTTTAAATACAGCCACGGGTAGGTAGGTAGTCACTGACCTACTCTACTTCTCTATAGCAGTCTCTAATCTGAGTATTTCATGTAATAGTCTTTTGTGGTCAGCTTCTCTCACTTGGCACAGTGTTTTCCAGGCTTATTCATGTTGCAGCATGTGTCAGATTTGATTCTTTCTTATGGCCCAAAACTATTGCATTGTGTGGGTGCACACATTTTCTTTATTTCTTCATCAATTGATGGAAAATTGGGCAGTGTTATTTATGGCTATTTTGTATTATGCTTTATTTTTTGTCTCCTTTCTCTTATTTTTTATGAATTTTATTGAGAAACAGCAGTGAGACAGTTTCAAAACCAATTAATAGGACAGTTTCAATAATTAACACATTGCATATTGTTATCTTCTTAGTGGTTATTCATAGTACAAGATGCAGACATGATATCCTGTCCACAAATACTATTAGTACACATCTTTCTTCTCATTGAATTAAGAGAAAGTAGCTGTATAGCTATCCTAACTATTTTGTGCATACAGATATATATATTTTTCACTACAAAATGGTCATTTATTTATACCCCCTTTTTTTGTATAGTTTCATTAGAGATGGGTATTCCATTGCCATTTAAATATTGTAGGTGTGTGATTTCAGCTAAATAATCCAATATAGTCCAGTAGTCCATAATAATAGTGGGTTATTCATAGGACTGGCAATGTCAGAAGTTGTTGACTTGAGCCTTCACAACTCAGCATATTAATACGGCTTTGAACGGCCTTGGGATGCTGCCAACGACATCCCTCATTTCCGAGCTCTGCCAAGAGTAGGTGCTAGAGAGACATAACGGATAAAATGTTAAAAAGGGATTTTATTTCGTTCTATGTTCTTTTTGCGCCTGTCTTTGTTACCCTGGCGATGGCTTTTCACATTATGCATCCAGGAGCAGCAGCTGGTTCTAGTTTGTGGTTTTGTCACAATCCCAGAACCGGGTGTATCTGTAATACAAATGTGAGGAGCCTGCGTCTCTGTAGCTCCTGTGGTTCCTGCTCCAATCTGAACACACTGACTACAGTAGGCAGGCGACCGCCTGAAGACAGGGGATGTCTTAGCTCCTCAAGCTTACGAGCCCTACCTTCTCTTTGTTTTCCTGTAGCTTCAGAGGTAGCAGCTGTTTCCTGCATCCTTCAATAGCAAGTTAAATATTACATGGGGAATGATGGCACATGTCCATATCCCCAGCTACTCAAGAGACTGAATCAGGAGGCCTGCAGATCTGAAGCTAGTCTAAGCAGTTTCATGAGAACTCAGTCTCAAAAACATAAAAAAGGCTCAGTGCAAAGGAAAGATTTTGTGACCAGAAACACACGCCTACACATACTTACACACACACACACACACACACACACACACACACACAAATATTCACACAGAAGAAGAAAGAGAAAAACCAAAAAGTTATTTTAACATTCCCATTTCTGGTTTTGATGTCTCAGTAGGACTCTGAGGCACTTAAAAATCACAGTAATCAGATAATCCAACTTACTGGGTTCTCCCACCAAAGGCTGATTTTGGTGGTCTGCTCTGGAGCGACACAGGCCATCAGAAGTTCATTTAGGGGCCTTAATAGGGCAGAGTGTCTTGAACTACGATGCACTTGTTTACCTGTGTGGATGTCCCAACTAACTTAATGTCAAGCAAGATCCTGAACTATCTCAATTTTCACAAATTCCCTCGGCTACCTCCACTACCATTTAGGAGAAACAACTTTTAAATTCGATCAGCTCCACTTATCCACTGAAGTATGTGTTTCTGGCTATTTATATTCTGAGTACTTAGCAGATGGTGCTGACCTTTTGGACTGCTTCCAGCCTTTTCCATCCGTGTTCAGAGTGTCCTTGGACTCCTGAAATACCTCTGGATAGCATGTGGTACAGCATTATAGATGGGATCAAGCAAGGCAGGATTGCCAAATGGATGCTTTCCTGTCCCCAAAAGCAAAACAAAGGACAGCACTTGGGTGTTTCTTTAGAAATTTGCATTTAGAAAACATCCATCTTACACAGGTTCTCTGTGTGCAGATGCAGTACTGTAGCTCCTGATTTCCATTAAATATTTCATGGAGGGGGAACACTGTCAACGTTACAAATGGAGTTTCTGTTTCATTTCTTAATATAATTTGTAGTGAAATAAACTCTCAGAAAGTTCTGACCAAGTTCTGGGACTTGATGGAGAAGGATGGTTGGTTTCTGTAAAGCAAATGATTTCTGTTTAGAGGAAGCAGGTATTTGGGAATATATGGACCTAGTGTCTTTGCTAGAACATTGTGGAATGCAACTAAATGAACGCTCCCAGCTCCAACGCTCAGTGATTCAGTTGCTGCATAATGCATCCCTGAATCAGGTAGGGAGAGGTGTTTTTTCATTGAAATTACCATCTTCTCCGAGTGGACTTTGCTCTGGCTGCATCTCTCCCATTAGAGCACAGGGTCATGCTGATCTCTGACTGTATACTTCTCCATGGAAAGGACATGTACATTCCCATCCCTTCCTCACAGTTAAGGCATGGAACATCTCAGAATGAAAGATGATATACAGGTGTAAGCAGGTAAACAGCACATTGGTAAAATGTTAAGAGAGACCTGCATGTGCACACAGTCTAAATCATGACCCACGACAGTTGTGTGCCCCGATTTTGCTCTTGTTTCTCAGAGGAAAGTCAAAAACAGTGACTCTTCTGCCTGGTGTTGCTTTAAGAAAATATAGTTTGGGGCATGATGGATTATAGAAGAACTATGTGTTAAGCAAATATGATTACAAGCTTTTCAGTATTGCTATAGAGAGGAACACAGGGAAAGTACCAATAAAAACTTGAAATGTATTGGGATAGGAGACTTTGTTTGGTTTTTTTTTTATTGTTCTAAAACAAATAATATTTATTGTTGCTTAAATAAAAAATCATGATGTATTTTTCAGCTTATAATATATATATTAAAATATATGACAGTTTTATGCAAAGAGTTGGGGGAGACAAATGGGAGTTACAAAAACCAAGCAACTAAATATTCTAATGCCCAAGGTAAACATGTTTCCAGAAAAATTAAGAGTAAAATTATAAGCTGAACCAATATCAGAATAGCTTATAATGCTGCATACCAGAACAATAACAGGATCGTGCAAGGGTCCATCAGTGTGTAGTGTCTCAATGTTGTCTTCAATGTTGTACTCCCACTGCACGCCAAGATCTATGAAGGTCCGTGACTTGGCTTCTTCCCCTTTGCCATTTAAAATATAGTGGCCTGTAGCCTGGTTCTTAATAGCAAGAATGTGAGGGGAAGCCTCATCTTCTTGGATTAACACATGTCTAGCCCCAGGAGGGATGTCAAACATCTTAAGGTACCCAAGCTTCCTGGGAGTTCTCGTAAATGTCCCCTTTACAGTGCGACAATGAGAATTGTCTCCTCCACAGGCACCACACTTGTCCTCAACCTTGTTGGAACCAATTTCTTTATCACAGCCAACTTTCACGCACTCGCCGCGCACACACACACCGTGCGGGTCCCGATAAAAGCAGCGTGTACCGTCAGCCACCAGTTGCCGCATGGACACCGTGGCCCCTGTCTCTCGTGACTGGCAATACAGGTGGCATCGTTTCCTGGGGTCAGGGTGCTCATGTGGCAGCCAGTGGTGCTTGGTGTTCTGGAACTCAAAGTGGGAGTTCCGCTGCTGGCACTGCTGTGTTCTAAAGTCCTCAAAGTGCTTCTGCACTCTTCCATATTACAAAGCTGGTACTCAAAGTTAACGCCGGGGCAGTCTTGCCCACCATTGATGGGTGTGGGGTTGTTGCACTGGCGGGTCCTAAAACGGACACCAGTTCCACATGTCCGGGAGCAGGAGCCAAACTTGGTCCAGGAGCCCCAGTTGCCATCTTGCTTCTGCTGATTGGTGTTTTTCCACATACAGTGTCCTTTGTAGCACCACTTCCCAGTAGCACACCCTGTGCCATCCAGCTGGGGTCCCTTTTTAGTCTTACAGAAGTAGGGGTTGTCAGGGTGACTGCACCACAACTGTTTACACGGGTCAAATGTCCGGAATGCAGTGCACATTTTGTAACCAACACCAAAATCAAAACGACATTGCTTATCCATAGAGTAATTTATTCCTGGAAGTTCTGGGAGCTTGGGCCAATCATGTTCAAAAGGGTCATCAAGCAGACAATCATAGGAATGGATGTATCGCCTCAGTTCCTGACCACTGCAGCGGGACCAGTGGTAGCGGTGGAAGGCTGCCTGCACCAAAGGTGCCATGACGCTGCCCATCGCAGTCTCATCGCCATACCGGTTACCTTGCCCATCGTGCTCCATGGGATAGGAGACTTTGATCAGCAGAATTCTATCCTTCAGTTGTTTGTGGTTTAGAAGAGCAGCTTTAAGAGGTGAGGTTGAGGATTTCCAGAGATAGGTGAATTATTAGTTTGTGCATTTGTTCTACCGTCATCAAATTAGGAAATCTTCTACTGTATTCTGCTACTTAGGAACCTTCGATGACCTTGCCCCCAGTATCCATGTTTTATTGCATCATCATTTTGTGCCAGCTTCCTTTTTTAGATGGTCTTTTCACTTGGCATGGTAGAACACAAACATCATTTTAGTATAAAGATTCCTCTTGCACACCAGTAAGTCAGAGGACTGAGTTCTCCATGCAACCTCAAAGAAAGCCTCTTTATGACATTTGCCATCCATCTCCTAATTTCTAAGGAGAGGAGAGAGCTCATAAGGCTGTTGTAAGGAATGTGTGTGGAACGACCAACTGTCTCAGTTTGTCCAGGATCCAGTTGTATCCTGGGATGCGGGACTTCTAGTGCTAAAACAGGAAAGCCCCATGCAAACTGGAATGTTAGTTATTCTACAGGGTACATGACAAGTAAAACACTTAGCACTGTGCTTTGCATGATAAATACTATAAGAATTATTCTTATATACTTAGACATGCTTTGCATTCCTCTCTCCAAGCCTTTCTACCCTCCTCTCCTGAGATCCTGTTGTTTACCACTGGAATCAGCCTCTCTTCTTTACTTCTAAGAATCCTAAAGCATATTATTTCCATGAATAGATTGGGCACTCAAAGGGGTGGGCACCCCCAACTCCGATTTGTGTTTCCCACAGCTCTGGAGTGAGCTTCTCATGTGTTTAGGAGATGCCTCGTGCATTTTTTGTTAATTCACTAATGTTTATTTTTCACTTCGATAAAAGCCACACCTACAACTACATTAAGTGTGCAGAAGATAGCCTTGTCCTGAAGGTATTTACTACCTAAGAAGATTCCTCATGTTGTATTGGTGAGAACTAGCATAGCACAACATGTAATAAGCTTGCAAAATGACATTCACCTTCACATTTACATTGAGCTGCTTCAGTATTTCCTAAAAGAGACAGATTGTTCGGAGGAGCCACACTTTCACATTGTTTCTTGTAAAATAGTTCAAGGAATTTTTGTTGGCCTTACCAAAAAAAGTTCTGATAGGGCAAGGTCATGCATTTGCACTCAGAAGAATGTTTTAGGATGTTCTTTCTGGATGAGATTATATTTCATTATTCCTTTGTGTAAATATAACACTTAATTATGAACACTAAGAAACCATTCTCTACAGAAATAAATTGCATATTAATAGAAGATTTGAAATGGATTTGAGTTTCAAAGGGAAACAGGAAAAATTGAATACATATATCTTTAAACAACAATTACACACTTGAAAATCATATACTAAACACAATTTTATTTATTTATTTATGTGTTTTTCTTTATTTAGCACAGGGTCTACAGGGTCTCACTACGTAGACTGGACTCACAGTGAATCTCCTGCTTTTAGCCTCCCAAGTTCTGGGATTACAGGCATGTGCCACAATGCCCAGTTTCTTTTTCTTTCTTTTTTTTTTTTTTTGAGGGGGGGAGGTTTTAATATGTTTATTTGAAAACCAAGGTCTGTGAAAGAGCACACCAAATGGTCATGTGTTTTCTCTTCAGTCAGAGACTTGGAGACGAGTTCTTGAGGTGAGTGCACAGTGAGGCCACATGCATGGAGGAGCTGGTCCTGCTGGTCCTGTGAGGGCTCCCGTCACATGCTCTCCACAGCTGGCCACACTCTGCACAGCTGGCCGGGCTTTGAGTGGCCAGAGCCCGTCTGGTCCCTTAGTCATCAATATACTCAAATGGTTCTGGGGGCTCTGGCTCTTGCTCTTCCTCTTCGATGTTGGGGCCATGTGCTGCCACAGGTTCTGCCAACTTCTCAATGTCTTTGCCGGTGTCCTTCAGCATGATGATGTCTCTGATGGACAGTGGCTTAAAAGGTTGGTATCTACAGGTCTCTGGCATGGTGAGGACCTTCAGCTGGGCAGGCATAACTCGGGCTGGGTTATCCAGTGGCTGGAAATTTGGCTCAGGTTCCTTTTCTTCTCTTTTTCTTCTTTTTTCTCTGCTTTGTCCACTTCCATTTTCTCTTCCTCCTTTTTTCTTTTTCTTTTTCCTTCTTTTTGGCTTTGGCAATAATAGACAATACAGCAGTAGAAACCTTTTCCTTTTCTTTTTCTTTTGGTACTTCCAGAGGTGTAGGATACAAAAATGTGGATGGTTTACAGTTTGATTTATACTGTACCTTTGGCATCTTTAAATCCTTGTTCAGGCTGATGACACAGGTAGGGGTATAAGCCAATGACAGAAAGTGTGAGAGAGGAAACCAGAACCAGAACTGGGTAAAGACAAGGACGCCAACCACAGAGGACATATGTGTGTGCCTGGTTCTGGACTGTAAGGAGATTGTAACATTATGGCCACCTGCATCTAGTATATGCCCTGGGCCAGAATAGTGCCAAACTTGGCCATGACATCATCATGCTTATCATTGATAACTTTGGAATACAGCTGTCGGAACTGATTCACCTTTGGACATGTGATCTCAGTCTGCTGGATCATGATGAGCACAGAGGCTATGAGAGCCCCTTGGCTCACGTAGTTCACAGGGTCATTTGTCATTGGTTCTAGCAAATTAATCGCTTCCTTTTTTCCTGTACCAGCACAGCAGATGCCCAGGGTCATCACGGCTCCATAGCACACATGGAGGTTGTAACTCTCAGACAGCAGAGAGACCACACTGGGACACTGCTCAGGGGTCCTGAATAGAATGAAGCCAAGTGATTCGACTGCTGCCCTCCTAACATCATCATTAACATCGCTGACAGCAACACGTAGCAGGTGTCGAATAGCTTTGTTGTTACCAGAGCCACAATAAGCCAAGGCCACTGTATACATTCCAGACCTTCGAAGAATTGGGTCCTTATCCCAACAGAGACTCAATGAGTGCATCAGCCTGTTCCATCCTCCCATACCTCACTAAGGCAATGCCGATGGTGAGACCATGCAGGATCTTCTCATTCTGGGTTTCCTGGGCATAGCCAACCATGTCCTCGATAGCCTGGGCATTTTTAGAGCCCAACATAACCAAACCTAGGGCCAGGCCAGCTGCTTCTCCTGTCACAGCATCATCCTGGTAAAGGTTGGTTTTTAGCAAATCATAAACATCCTGGTGTGCATTTCCCATGGCAGCCAAACCAAGGCCCAGGCTGCTTCCATCCCTAATGATATCGTTGCTGGCATTCTTGAGCTGATTCAGCAGGTAATCGATTATGTCGCCACCATGATTGGCATGGATGAGCCCTAGTGCATAGAACCCCTGCCTTCCTGGTAGGCTGACCCTGGAGTCATGTCTTTGGGAAGGTAGGTTGCCATTAACTGCAATGCTTCCTTCTCGTGACCCTTATGAATTACACCCAAACTGGCTGTAGCAGTAAAGTTAGCCCAGTTAGTGGCTCTGGCCAACCATTCCAAGTTATGTCTAAGAAACTGGTCACTGTTAGTCCCACAGTGCATGAAAGAGTTTGCTATGACAGTTGCTGTGTGGCATACTGAATTCCGTACTGCATCCTTTGTGTTTATTAGAATCATGAGGTCTTTGTTATTTATTCTGTATTAGAAATTGCAGATGTAACTCAATAGCCATTTAACCGCTTAAAATTTTAATCATTTTCAAAGTCTGGTCCTTGGGTTCTGGACTCTGCACATCTGGTGTCTTTCCAGCAAGTGTACGGCCTGTCTTGTCTTCTGTCTCCATCATCTCACTGTCTTTCTCAGAACCTGGAACAGTGCCTGTGTTGGTGGAGCCAGGCACAGAGGCAATGGAGGTGCCCAAGGTTCCAAGATTCTGGATCACAGAGGACAGAAACTGCTGGCTGACACTTTCATACAAATCAAAGCAGATCTGATAGGCCAAGAGGAGGTTGTCTTTCTTCACCAGTTTTTCTAAGATGTCACTCACAGTTTGAGGATCATCTAAGAATATTAAGCACTGACAAACATTAATGAAATCAGGTTTCTCCAAGTTCATGTAGATTTTAACTAAGACTCTCAGTACTTTATTCCAGAACTGTTTATTCTGCATTAAAGACATGCAGAGCTTGAGGCTATAAGCTAGCATTCCCAGGACATCATTCGATTCTAGTATGGTCTTCTCAAAGACATTTAGTCTTCTTGTCTCCAAAGCAATGCCGATAGCCTGCTTATACTTGCAATCACGTAGACATTGTTGGAACATTTTATTCACAATGCCTTCCAATCTCTGGTCAATTGGTTTTTTTTTTTTTCTCCTTCAGGCAAATCTGCATTTTCCATACAATGCTTGGTATACTGATCAATGCATTTTGCTATAATAGTCTCCACATACTCAGAATTGTCATTGACATTGAAGAGATTACCTGCTCCAAGAGCATAATTCAGAGACTCCTCAAAAGTTCCCAGGTGATAAAATACTTTAGATGCCACTAAGGCT